CCAAGAGTAAACCCTAGAAAAGGTTAAATGGTAAATTGGATGAATGATCTAAACCTAAAACATTTGAGGCTCTATAAAGCTCTCTTGGGGGTTTGAGTATTTGCCTAAACTCTGCTCTTACAGATTGATGTAATCTAAACCTCATCAGTGTGTAATGGCCTTGTAGCATACATTAAAGCATAATGTATCACCTGTTTTGCGCTCTCTGAGGCATCTGCTGTTCTCCTGCCTCAGTGAAACTATCCCTGGTACAAGTCTTGCTTTCTCCCAACACAGGTGAAGCTGCATTAAAGGCCAAATTGCATCCATACTCATTGTGTAGCTCATGGGGCCACTTGTTTCGTACCACTGTTATCTGGATAGTAGCTGTGGCTCGAGTCAGAAGACTGCGAGTTCAAGTGTCTGGGGATGGGTCCACAGGTCAGGCTGATGCTTCCATGCCGTACTTCTTTTATTCTAGCTCAGCCAACATTTAGTGGCCATCTATAATCACACAGAAGGCAGTGAAGAGTAAATGACATTGCTGTAGGTCTGGAGTTACATGTAGGCCAGACCAGGTAAGGATGGCAATTTCCTTCCCTAAAGGACATTTGTAAACCAGATGGCATTTTCCTCGCAGTCAGCAATGGTTTCATGGATATCATTAGAATCATAATTCCAGACTTTTATTGAATTCAAATTCTACCATCTGCCATGGCGGGATTCAAACCCAGATGCGGCACAGATGGAGGTTGAACAGTTCATCAACTTTACTAATACCTCTCACCCTAACCTCAAGTTCATTTGGACCATCTCTGAAACCTCTCTCTTCTTCCTGGACCTCTCTGTCTCCATCTCTGGTGACCACCTCGAAACCAATATCTATTTCAAGCCCACCAACTCCCATAGCTACCTTGACTACACCTCCTCTCACCCACCTTTCTGCAAGAATGTGATCCCCTACTCCCAATTCCTCCGCCTCCGCCACATCTGCTCCCAAGATGAGGCATTCCACTCCTGAACATCCCAGATGCCCTCGTATTTCAAGGGCCGCAACATCCCCCCTGCAGTAGTTGAAAATGCTCTCGACCACATCTCTTGCGTTTCCCACACCTCTGCCCTCACACCCCCTTCCAGCAACAAAACAAAGACAGAATCCCACTTGTCCTCACGTATCACCCCACTAACCTCCGGATTCAACGTATCATTCTCCGCCACTTCTGGAGGATGCACCTGCAATCTGACCCCACAACCAAGGATATATTTCCCTCCCCACCCCTAACTGCCTTCCATAGGGACCGCTCTCTCTGCAACTCCCTCGTCTGCTCCATGCTCCCCACTAGTCCCAACACCCCCGGCACCTTTCCCTGCAACCGCAGGAAGTGCTACACCTGCCCCTACACCTCCCCCCTCACCTCCATCCAAGGAACCAAAAAAACCTTTCACATCAGACAAAGGTTCACTTGCACATCCGTTAATGTGGTCTATTACATCCACTGTTCCCGGTGCGGCCTCCTCTACATTGATGAGACCAAGCAAAGGCTCGGAGACCGCTTTGTACAGCACCTGCGCACTGTTCGTGACAAACAACAACACCTTCCAGTCGCTAACCATTTCAACTCCCTCTCCCACTCCCTGGGTGACATGTCCATCCTGGGCCTCCTCCAGGTCACAATGATGCCACCTGGAAACTGGAGGAGCAGCATCTCATATTCTGCCTTGGGAGCCTACAACCCAATGGTCTCAATGTGGACTTTGCCAGTTTCAAAATCTCCCCACCCCTGGCCTCATCCCATGACCAACCCTCCCTCTCATCCCCGCCTTCTTTACCTGACACAACCTGACACAACCTGCCCATCTTCTCTCCCACCTACCTGCTCCTCCCACCTCACTGACTAATCCCCACTACTGCCTACCTGCACTCACCTATCACTATCCCAACTACCCTCCCTAGCCCCAATCCTCCTGTCTCTATTTGTTTCAGAGCTTTCTGCCCCCACCACCAAGGTGGCAGGAGAGGGGGCTTCAAGAAGGGCCAAGAAAGAAGACCCTCATGTAATAGCTTGACAGCAGATAGGTTAATTAGTCCTCATGGGGACTGTAGAGGGAGAATGGTAAGTGGGTGAGAAAGGGGAACAGAAAATATTGCAGGCAGACATCAGTGTGCAAAATCTAGAAAGCAGAATCCACAAAGAGCCTAAAAATAACAACAGTGTGGTAAATGTTAATCTCCAAAATCTGAATGCTTTCAAGGGGTTTATTCCATCTCAGAAATTCTCACCGCTTCACAGCAGAACTGCTGAGGTGAAGTCAAGGGAATCAGCCAGCAACTGAACGCAAATTCCCATAGATCTTAATTAGACACAGGCCCAGAAAATGCCGACTGATGTCAATAATCAACTTGCAGGTTTGCACTTAACTAGGCTTTATAGCTGTGCCTGTATTAGTTTTTAGAATTGGCTCATCCCAATAGTGTAATAAGGTAATAAAACAGAGAACATCACAAATTATACTGTAACCCAAAACACAATCTAAGCACTGAGATATCCACAAATCTATACCTAAAATCATTGACTTGGTAAAAAGATAGTGCTTCCAATCCAATGAAATCAATGGGGAACAACACTGTAACAATAACCCCTGTTGGCACTTACTAACAGAGAGAGTGACAGTCATTACGGCCCATCGAGTCCATGCCAGCTCTCTGTACAGCAATCCAGTCAGTCCATTTCTCCACTCAATACCTCTGTTTGGCTCCAGGCATGACTCTGCAATCACTATTTAAAAACTATGGCCCATAATCATCAGTCAGTGGTTAAAGCAATGATGATTACTGCTGGCCTCAAAGAAAGCTGCGCTGAGTGATCTGTTTTTAGTAATCTAGCAAGAAATATAGCTTTCTCAACGTGTGGTTGATAGTACCATTGTTTAATGAGGAATCCCATATCAGAAGACAGAGATGTAATCAAACAGTCAGAGCGACCAAAAATTTTCAAAGGCAACAGATCAGTAACTGAAATCACTTTTAAACATTTTTACAGGCAGTGGAATAAAGATTGGGGGCATACACAAAACAACATAAACTCTTTAAATACTTTTTAGAAATATTCAAACAGTCATGAAATTAATCCTACATAAAGACAGATAGTGCTGGAGAAATTTAGCAGGTCTGACAACACTTATGCAGAAAGAAACATAGTTAACATTTCGAGTCCAATGACTCTTCTTCTGAAATAGTTCCATGTCCAAAATGCAACACGACCTGTATAATATTCAGGTTTGGTCTGACAAGTGACAAAACAACTATTGAGCCACACAAGAGCCAGGCAATGGCCATCTCCAACAAGACAGGGTCTAATTCACATTCAATGGCATTATCATTACCAAATCCCCCACTCTCAACATCCTGGGAGTTACCATTGACCAAATACTGAACTGGAATAGGTATATAAATATTGTGGCTATGACAGCAGGTTAGTGGCTAGGAATATTGCAGCGAGTAAGTCATCTTCTGACTCTCAAAAGCCTGTCCACCATCTACCAGGCACAAGTCAGGACTGTGATGGTATACTCCCCATTTGTTTGGATGAGTGCAGCTCTAACAGCAGTCAGGAAGCTTAATATGATACAGGACAAAGCAGTCCACTTGACTGGCACCATGTTCACAAACATTCACTCCCTGCATTATCAACGTTCAGTAGCAGTGTGTGCCATCTACAAGATGCACTGCAGAAATTCACCAAGGTTCCTTGGAGAGCGACTATCAAACCCGCGTCCATTACCATTAGGAAGGACTAGGACAGCAAATACGTGGAAACATCACCACCGGCAAGTACTCCTCTAAGCCACATACCATCCTGACTTAGAAATATATTGCCTGTCCTTCAGTGCTGATGGGTCAAAATCCCGCAACTCCCACCCTATTATGGGTGTCCATACAGCAATTGGATTGCAGCAGCTCATGAAGGCAGCTCACCATCAGTTTTTTTATGAGCAGCTAGGGATGGCTAATATGTGCCAGCCTAGCCAGCAATGCCCACATCCCTTCAATGAACAACGAAAAACGCAAGTTATCCCTTTTGTGATTTTCATGACTTGAGAAACCCAATTATCCATTCAAGTCATATCATAGCAAAATGTATCAGTGTCATCATACAAAGCATTTTATTCAGCTGATGTGCCTAACATTTGTTTTTATTCATTCACGGGATGTGGACGTGGACGTCGATCAGCATTTAATGTCCATCCCTAATTTCCCAGAGGGCAGTTAAGCATCAGCTACATTACTGTGGGTCAGGAGTCACATGTAAGGATTGCAGATTTCCTTCCTTAAAGGACATCAACGAACTAGATGGATTTTTCCAACAATCGACAATGTTTCATGGTGACCATTTGACTCCCAATAAACTCCAGATATTTACTGAATTCAAGTTCCACCATCTATCATAGCAGGATTCAAACCCAGAGCATTACCAGGGTTTCTGGATTCGTAGTTTAGCGATAATACTATTAGGCCATCGCCATCCTCCACTGCTGAACCTACATATACAAATTTTTCAACTGAAGAAAAGTTAACTTGAACAGAATCAACAGAATCACAACTCAGGAGGATGACCTCCATCTGATGTACTCCCCTTTTTAGACTTGGTGCTTGCTGTTGAGCTCCAGTGGAAAGAAAGGGACGCAACACCTAAACTATGTAAACAGCCGGGATTGGGAGATTTCTTCTGACATGAGCCACACCCTCTATTTACTTGGTTGCAATAACAGGCCAATCTGATGCAAAACTGACTGACCCACAATATCAGGGGTCTACATTATCACTGAAGACAACTTTTTCACTAAGTCGTAGGGAGCTAGCATGGGTTCGATGGGCCAAATGGCCCCCTTTTTGTGCTGTAATCATTCTGTGATTCTATGGTTTGTTTTTTTTGCTTTACAAAGGAAACAAATCACACCACTGAGTTCTTCTAATGTGAACGCACTCCTAAATGTCAAGAAGGGTAACCTTCAAACCATACCTTTTGTGCCTCTCTGATGCAATGGCGATATTCCTTGGCAAAGGCAGAGCACTTTAAGGTCAACTGCGGATTTTCTTGGTAACAATTAAGGATCTGGGACTGCAGATTTGCACAGAGAGGCTCATAGTTTCTTGACCTGTCAACCAAAGATATAAAAAAGATAAAGTCTCTGAACATTTTAAAAATGAACATATTTTCAATATATGTCAGAAAGTGCTTTAAAAAGGTTTATTCAGGTAAGGGTTTTTTTTCTAAATTCATAGCAAATGCGGGGTTTCAATCTGCTGTGCCATGAGGCAATAACCTGTGGGCTTGCATTCCTGATTCACAAGGCAACAAGCTCTCAGTCCAGTACAATCATGTATTCCTCCCTTAGACCAGGGAAAAAGAGTCAAGTCACCTTGTGTCAACTCCTGTCAGCCTGTTATGGAATACCATCGATACAGAGGCTGGGAGCTGGTTACCCACTTTACTTTCTTCAGGTGTTCAGTGAGCGGCACCAGGCTTTTCTGAGTAGCGGACAAGAAGAAAATCTAAAGTAAGCTTAGAAAGAGAAAAATCCACTTCCCATCATGATCTCGTTGATCAACACAGAACATAGAACAGTACAGCACAGTACAGGCCCTTCGGCCCATGATGTTGTGCCGACCTATTACCCTACTCTAAGATCAAACCACCCTGCACACCCTACATTTTACTATCACCCATGTGCCTATCAAGAGTCGTTTGAGTGTCCCTAACATATCTGACTCCACCACCACCACCGGCAGCGCATTCGACGCACCCACCACTCTCTGAATGAAGAGCCTACCTCAAGTACCTCAAGTCAATATTTGAATGGTCTATTCAAAGAATTTGACACATTGCCTTTCACAATCTCAGGACACACTAAACAGCTTTACAAAAGGTGAATTAATTTTAACATGTAGCCACTGTTGTAAGAATGTAGCATCTAAGAATGTGCATGGCAAGGCAGCCCACCAACACATTCTCAGGGCAATTAGGAATGGCCAATAAATGCTGGCCCTGTCAGTGATGCTCACACTCCATCAACAAATTTTTAAAAAAGTTCCCAAAAATCGCAATTAGGGCAGCATGGTGGCTCAGTGGTTAGCACTGCTGCCTCACAGCGCCAGGGACCTGGGTTTGATCCCACCCTCGGGCAACTGTCTGTGTGGAGCTTGCACATTCTCCCCGTGTCTGTGTGGGTTTCCTCCGGGTGCTCCGGTTTCCTCCCACAGTCCAAAGGCGTGCAGGCTAGGGTGGACTGGCCATGGGAAATTGCCCATAGTGTACAGGGATCTGTAGATTAGATGTGTTAGCCATGGGAAATGCAGGGTTATGGGGAAAGGGTAGGGGGCATGGAGATGGGTCTGGGTGGGATGCTCTTCGGAGGATCAGTGTGGACTTGTTGGGCCAAAGGGCCTGTTTCCACACTGTAGGGATTCTGTGATTCTATGATAAATGACCAAGTCGTCTCATCTGGGTGTTAACTGAGGGATAAATATCGGTCACTGGGAAAATGCCATCACTCTTCAAAATAGATTATTTACATTTTACCTGAGAGGGCAGATGGAACCTCTGCTTGACACATTAATCAAAAAATAGCACTATTCCTTTGGTACTGCATTGAAGTGGCAGTGCATATTATGGGTTTCTCTAGGATGTAGCTTGACCACAGCCTTCTGTCTGAGAGACAAGGGTGCTACTCACTGAGCCATAACTGATGCAAGGCCAGTTTTCACTTCAATTTTGTGTTTGTTCTGAGGTAATCTCAGATGGAGCAGCAGTTTAGCTGTTCGAACTGGCCTCTGTGAAATCAGGCTGATGTAGCAATTTAAAAGCAAATCTAAGTAACAAGGGGCTCTGGGAAGCTAAATTGGTTAAAAACACAATTTCCCTCAAGTGAGTTGGTAACTGGAGGGAGTAAGTTTAAGACAACCACCAAAGAAGAAAGGAAAAGATTGGAAAGATTTATTTTATGAAGTAGGCTGTTAGGACAGGGGAATGTCCTATTAGAAACAATGCTGAAAGTAGAGTATCTAATAGCCTTTAAAAGTGAAGTGGATAAATATTTCAAAAAGAGAAATTCTGAAGAGTGCAAGGAAATGGGACTAAGTAAATAGCCCTTTCAAAGAGTCAGGCAGGAGCAATTGGCAAAATGGTTTCTTCTGGTAGAATTCTATAATTCTAGACTTTTCATGCTTGGCTGCAGTAAAGTGACTTCTCACTGCATGTTTTGTGAGTGGGACTTGGTTCAGCCTCCGTAGTTAAGCAGTCCACTCTTCCACACTGTCTCAATTTAGAGAAGTAGCATGACTAGCATCTGTGGAACTGTAATTTAATACTAGTCAGCGCCTTCAAAAGAGCAGAGGGCAGGCAAGGGAAAAGGAAGGAAGCAATCAGACCTGAAAAGCCCACAGTCATTCACTGTGACTGAGATTGTCTCAAATTGGTTCAAAAAGGGAACCTACTTTGAAAAAACTCAGCTTTTATGCTCACGGGTGTTGAATCTGAACGAATATTAACATCCTTTGTCTTGACAAAGATGCAAGTTAATCGCTCCATCTTCTTCGCTACTTCAAGGTCAAAAATCTACAAACACTGGTGAGCAACAACCTGTCCGTTGAATCTCATAAAGGAAGACTAGCAGTTTTTAGTTGTATGGACTGAAGAAAAGCCGAGGGTAGGAGCCTCCTTTGCAGGACACCTGGGCCCCATCAGCTGCACCTCCAGCACCCCCTATCAAAGGAAAATCTTCTGTTTAACCCTCTCCCATGGTGCCTTGATCTCAGCCCACATCCCCACCTCCAAGATCACTGCCCTTGGACTTACCTTGGCTCCTCAGAGTGGTGGGATTCACTGTGGTCCTAGCAGTAGTGACTGCTTCCCACCGATACTGCTGACACCACAGAGGTTCTGGTCTGTCAGTTTGGCCAGCTGCTCTCTTACGGTGGCAGCCCCTCCAGAGAGAGGGAAAGAGGTGTCACCTTAAAGCAAATAAAGTTTACTCCCAGCTTTAAATTTCAGCTGGGAAGTTGTCGGACTCATTCGTGGGATCACCCTTGGGTTTTTAGTCACAGGTTATAGATGCATATAATACCTCATCGAACCCTTGCCATTCTGACTGAAAGGCAAGTGCACTATCCACAGAATCACAGATACAAGGTCGTGTAGGGTTATGGATTTTGTTTTGAGAGGATGTGGTACATTAGCACAGTGACTGGTGCCCTAAACGTAAATGCACCCAACTGGATAGTATGGAAATGTCCTTTAAATGTCAGACTGTAAGTATCCACTGTGAAATGAGGTTGAATGAGGGGGAGAGGTGTGTGGGTGAAATTGGTGGGGGTGGGGTTTGCCGTTGTGAACTTGCACATTGTACAAAGCACAGGGAGGTTTTCTGTACTAATGCTGACAATAGAAATCTGAAGCTGGACAGTATTCAACCCTGGCAAGCAGATAATTTACCACACAAATAACTAATTGCAGCCAAAGAAAATGTGCATTGCTTTAGAGGACAGTATTTCTAATGACAACTGTATTTAGAATATTTCAGAACATTTCTTGGCCTTGGTCTGTAAATCTGGCTGTTATCTTATTCAAGTTCAGTTTTTACTCTTGTTCTAATTGGTTCTTTTTTGCTACTCTCTTACTTTTTCTACAATTGTATCGAGTCAATAAACGGAGGTCAAAGATTTAAAATCACTGGCTAAAGATTAGAGGAAAGATGAGGAGAATGTTTTTCACTCAGACAGCTTTTGGGATCTGGGACATTCCATATGAAAAGGCAAAGGTGGCCAATACCATAAATAATTTTCAAAGGAAATTGGACAGGCATGTAAAGATGAAGAACCTACAGACAATGCACATGATACTATGGTATCACTGCTATAACAGTATGTAGAACTGTACGCAGGACTCTAAATGGAATCTGATCAACACTTTTATAATTTCAATGGACCTTTACTGCACTCCTTCAATTTAACATAGATGTCAAATTTGGTTGTAATTTTAATTGCTAGCAACATCTTGAGAATATTATTTAAATGTGATGAGTCCACTATTATTTAAAGGTCCCTTTCTCAATCTGTGCTCATTTTATTTTAGACCAACACTGCACATTATTTTGTCCAGTCTGCTATATCCTTCAAGTTCCATCTGTCTACACCAACATAAATGAAATAAACTGGAAGACCCTTTGGTGGCATTCTTACCTGTGTCAAAACATTGTGGATGCAAGCCCAACTCCAAGAGGTGACTGTATAGCTGCTGAGCAGTACTGAGAAGGTGTTGCATATTTTGATGTGCCAGCTTTTGGATAAGGCATTCAGAGTACCTGTCCAAATGGATGCTTTGGCAGAGTACCTTCTGCATCTTTGCCACCTTCAGTTACTTCATTCCCCAAGTGTGCTCAACGTGGAGGAGTGCTGATTCTTGAGGGGGTTGGGATGGTGCTGGTATGCTTGCGGCAGATGTTTCCTTGACCATGGCTGACTTTGTCAATAACCTTCTTCAATTGTGAAATAAACTACCTCACTCGAAATTCCAACATTCTTTATATAAACCATGAAACCTATTTACAATACACTGTTATAGAAATACCTGGCCCTCCTCAAATCTCATAATTTGAGAAATGCTCACAAAAATAAATCCTCCACCTGTGTCCTACTCTTGGCCTTGGCCTTTATTTCTTTTGTTTGATTATCAACACTTAGCCTCAATACTCAAGTGCCTGAACATAGAACTCACCTTCATCCCAAGCTGCAACACAAATCTTAATGTGGCACCCAGGCCAAAACCCATTACTGTTTTGACTCAGATCTGCTCCTATCTAGACCTCTACTCAATCCTGTCCCCTACAGTGTGACACCAGGCCCACCTCCATCAAGATTCACGTTACATTCCACCTTGACCTCATCTGTCTCCATCCAGACCTAATCCCACTATTCACCTCTACCCAGACGTGTCCCCTGTCTACACTTCAACACAGATCTACCTCTTCTATACCTTGACTCCATTCAGACCAACGCTACCAACTGGCTGTAGCCAGACTTTGCCCATCTCCACCTTGAACAAGACATGTCCCATCTTCACCTCAACCAAACCTCACCACCCAACTCTATTTAGATATGC